CAAGCGTTCTAGTCAAAGCAGCCAACAATGCATTGTGGGAAATCCCCCCCAGGCCATAATTCATGGCACGGGCCCTACTGGCCTGGGTGGGGGACGTGGTAGATTTCTTAATTTCCACGGGGGTCTGTGGGGCAGAGGGTAAGCAGAGGCTATTTGCAAAAACGGTCCTCGTTTCATTCTTAGGCCCTTTAAATCTGGTCAGATATTGACTTTCTCAACGTTTCCATCGAGATGCTATCGGCTCTTGCAGTCAGCCGCTGCCTGCATTGATGCGGAGTGTAATGGTGTCTCTTGGACAGAATTAACTTCTCTCCTTACACAGACAGATGTCGATACATGCCCACTGTTGCCTGTAATGTATTGCTACAGCTACAAGAAGATTTACAGCACGCCGCTTCTAAACGGCCACATCTCTAATGAAATGCCTTGTGGGACCGCAAACTCCATGTAAATAAAATAAGACAACTTGTATTTATGTAGCCGCGCTCTCCTTTCCAAATGCTTCGCAATTAAAGTTTTTGTTTGGAATCTGGAAGATGCTGTACTCAGGTTAGCGGGCAAGTCTGCCTCTGGAGGCCGTGATTGGACAGCTGGTGGTGAAATCATTTTTTTTTTTTTTTGCAAAAGAATGGATGGAAAGAATAACAATTATAAGCTAGCATGGATCCATTTTCAATTCGGCTTTTAGTGGCCCCCAGAGACAATTATATTACCAGGCGATAAGATCTATCCGAGGCAGCCCAGGAGCGCTCAGATACCAGATCAGAGACACTGGACCCAGACAGAGGGCAGTAATTACAACAGAAAAGATAAGGATGGAATTGGCCACCACTGGCCTCCTTAGCGAGTTTGGATGGAGAAAAATTACCTCTCTATGTCACTGTCTTTACTGCTTCCATTGGAAGGCTATTCCAGGTATCTACTACCCTTTACTGGTCTCACTGGAAGGCTATTCTAGGTATCTACTACCCTTTCTATATCACTAATAGCATTTACTGTTTCCACTGGAAGGCTATTCCAGGTATCTACTACCCTCTCTATATCACTGTTACTGCTCTCACTGGAAGGTTATTGCCAGTACCTACTACCCTTTCTATATCAATGTTACTGCTCCCACTGGAAGGCTATTCCAGGTATCTACTACCCTTTCTATATCAATGTTACTGCTCCCACTGGAAGGCTATTCCAGGTATCTACTACCCTTTCTGGAGATAAAATGTCTAGTATTTTTTTGTGACGTTACATATGTAGAAAGGCAAATGTATTTTGTATCCAAAAACCCAACACGCATTGTTCAAACCACAAATATTTCCCATGTAGGCTTTAGAAAGTGCTTAATATTATACGGTTTTAGTATTTCTGTACTAGAGATGGTGTGGGGGGAGTTGTGTTTGAGTAGGATCCATCATTGGAGCTTTAATTATCTGTCAGCGTCTAGTACTCAATAGAATTATAATTCTGCATTCAGAGCTAATAATCTCAGCTGTGGGAAGTATGTTACTGTCAACGTGTTATTTAGTGTAAAAACCCTTCTTGGAGCACCAATTAAAAAACACACATTTCTGTTCGGTATAACAATATACTAATTCCATTGGTTATTTACATCTGTCACTTGACTTATATGGCTAAAGTGTATATTCCTGCACTGAGAGTTAAACAGAAGGTTTAACATTCCCGCTTACAGAGTGTATGTGTGTCACATTGTGTTGCTGTTACATAATGACAGCTCTCGCGATTCTCTCTAACTTTCCATAGCAGTTTATCTCGTTCCCCAGAATACATCGAGGGGTGTCCAGTAAACATGAAGGAAGTTCTTATTGTTAAACGATTCATGGATTAAGGTTGTGGATCTCGTTAAAAAAAAAAAAAAAAAGTGTCTAAACTTTAAACTGTTCGTCACAACATTCAGCTCTCCATATACTGAACCCTTCAGCAATTCATAGACTGAGAACTGAACCCTGCAGCTTTCTACAGACTGAATACTGAACCCTGCAGCTCTCTACAGACAGAATACTGAACCCTGCAGCTCTCCATAGACTGAATACTGAGCCCTGCAGCTCTCCGTAGACTGAATACTGAGCCCTGCAGCTCTCCATAGACTGAATACTGAGCCCTGCAGCTCTCCATACACTGAATACTGAGCCCTGCAGCTCTCCATAGACTGAACACTGAACCCTGCAGCTCTCCATAGACTGAATACTGAGCCCTGCAGCTCTCCATAGACTGAATACTGAGCCCTACAGCTCTCCATAGACTGAATACTGAACCCTGCAGCTCTCCATAGACTGAATACTGAACCCTGCAGCTCTCTATAGACTGAGCACTGAACCCTGCAGCTCTCCATAGACTGAGCACTGAACCCTGCAGCTCTCCACAGACTGAACACTGAACCCTGCAGCTCTCCATAGACTGAATACTGAACCCTGCAGCTCTCTATAGACTGAGCACTGAACCCTGCAGCTCTCCATAGACTGAATACTGAACCCTGCAGCTCTCCATAGACTGAATACTGAACCCTGCAGCTCTCCACAGACTGAATACTGAACCCTGCAGCTCTCCATAGACTGAATACTGAACCCTGCAGCTCTCCATAGACTGAATACTGAACCCTGCAGCTCTCCATAGACTGAACCCTGCAGCTCTCCATAGACTGAATACTGAACCCTGCAGCTCTCCATAGACTGAGTACTGAACCCTGCAGCTCTCCATAGACTGAACCCTGAACCCTGCAGCTC